AGCACGATAAAATGAGGTATGCCTGTATAGTCCAGCCATTGTGGACTGCATGGGGTAAATCCTCTCTTGATTTGAACTCTGGATTTTTTTTCTCTCTCTTGGACTTCAGGGACTCATGCCTTTTTCCCATCATTAATCCATTCAAAGACAAAAAGGAGATCTACTACATTTGCTGTCTCAATAGCCATATTACTGGTTTGGATCTTAACACTTTGTGACTTGTGTTTTCAAAATCTAAACACAAGATTTTACTTTTAACCCTGTAGCATTGTATCTTTCTTGGCTTGAGTTACCTTCAAGTTTTCTAGGTCTTTGAAAATGATTGTGCTGATTTGCATTTTTATTATACTTTCTGCTTTTCTTGTTCAGGTGTGCCATCTGGCTCTTTATCACAGTTAGTGATTATAAAATATTCAGCAGGGCAGGGCAGTTAGAGAGTCCAGTCTCATACCATGGGAAGCCTCTTTCTGTGATTGTTCATTCATGAAGCATTTATGGAAATGCTTACATTACACCAGGCACTTAGATTCAAGGTTATGAAGATGAATGGAACATAGCCCCTATTGGAGGAGATTCCATTTCAGTAGGAGAGACAAACATGGGAAAATCATTTACCCTATGCTTATGAGGGTTTAATGAGTATTATATACACAGGAAGATCAGTAGCAGAGAAAGGTACTTGTAGGAAGGAAAACTACAGTTCCTTTCCCCTAAAGGCTGTTGTTACATTTTAATCTCCACTTGTCTTAGGTGTCAAGTTCTTTTTTTTTTTTTTTTTTTTAAGGATAACCATTCTGTTATTTTCCCATCAACATCAATCAAAATGTTGTCTTTTACCAGTATGTTTTAGTGGGGTGGATAGTTATTAACTATTCTAATTATACATTTTTTTTAAAGGCATTTTCTAGGAGCAATTTAAACAAAATTCTCATTGCTCTTATTAAAACCAAGGCTTTTTAAATCTAACAAGTTTTCCTCTTGGTATTTTTAATAACTAGTTTATTTAAATCCAGAACAAAAGTATTTGGAGTCATCCTCCTTAACATTGTTTTCCTTCAGATTAAGATAATACTTTTCTGAGATGGTTAAAGTGTTGACTTGACTGGTAGTTATCTGAATTAGGTTCTTTCAGTGCTTTCTGTGGTGGTAAAATGTGCTAGAAGTGATTGTCTTCCATGTGAGTGAACTGTGGGAAAGGGATATCAAGCCAGTAACTTTCCTTATCAAGTCAACCCCTCTCTGCATTCACATTCAGTGCATCCCACGGTTCGCAAAGGGTTGTAGGCAATGTGAAAAGTATGACGTAGTTCCTGATCTAAAAGAACTTAATGACATTTGGTTGTATTACTGCAAGCTAAATTATTGGTACTACCTTCTTTTCTGGACCTGCAGCTATTTGGCAGTTAACCGTGCACTTTAGTAGTGTGAGCATTGAGGGCTGATGTTTCCATATCAAATCCTGATAGTTACACTAACCTGCTAATGTAAACTAAACTGGTCTCCTTTCTCCTGCCCCTTTCTCCAATTCTTATTTTAATGGAATTGTTGGATTTCTTGATTGTTTTATAATAGTGGGACACAGCAGGCCAAGAAAGATTTCGAACAATCACCTCCAGTTATTACAGAGGAGCCCACGGCATTATAGTTGTATACGATGTGACAGATCAGGTAAGTTCCAGGAGGAAATTGTATTACAATGACGAAATAGAAAGTTGCTATTTGATAAATATCATTCTTTGACTTTGCATGTAAGCCCTCAGTATTAATTATATGGCAGAAAACTTTGTCTACCCTCAAATGAGTGAACCACTTAAAAAACATTGGTTTTAAGCAATAATCTTTTAAAGAAGGTACATTGTTATTTTTTTCCTCTCCATCATTTGAATACCTAATGAATTGGTCAGCCAAAATTTTCTATTTTCCTTTAGTAAATAGAAAATTTAGTAATTGGGTTTATGTTTGCTTTCAAGGGTCTGTGGTTATGTTTATTATCAACTAATACCATACCATTTTGGCAAGAGTTTGTAGGGAACTGTGGGTTCTTTGTTTTGTAGTGTGTTTTTGATGTTAAGTATTAATAGGAATTTGCCTGGTAATTAGACTTGTCAGAGTTGCCAAAAGTGAGGTTTTAAGTTTCTGCCTGTGGAGGATGTGGTTCAGAAATAAGATGAACTCAAGGAACATTTTAAGAGGACAATGAGTATCTGAACATTAGCTGTTGAAAGTAAGTAGGGGATTTGTGGAGATAGTGTGAAGAATTTAGTGTAAGGGTAGGCCATAAATGTTCTTTTGATCAGAAAGTTAGAAAAAAAAATTTTCTTTCAAAGGAAAGAATGAAGGGTAAACTCTAGAATTCATTTTTCTTGTAGCAAATATTAAATCTCAATGAAATCATGCCAGATTAGGAGATTAGAGTTATAGATTTTTAGATTCAACGCCATTAGAAGTATTGAGCTAATTTCCAAAAATGTCAAGTCATCATGAACCTCAAATTTCAAAAACCAGGTTTTGTAGTGCATTTATTAAATTGCATATTCCAAAATAATTACATTTGTCTGAGCTGTAGTTTAATGAGCTGTATTTCCCTCTCAAATAAGGTATTTTCATCCTCGAATTCTAATTTCTTATTCATGTAGGTATGTATAGTCCCCTTAATATATCAGTTCACTTTTCCATCACTAGTTTTATTCTATAGCTAGCCTTGTCTCACAAGTTCAGCTTTGGTCAGGGAAAGATAACTTCCCTTTATCACTTGCTTTATTTAGAGAAGTTGTGTCCAGAACTGTATTTAATCATTCTTAAAAATGTCTGTCTTCTTAGGAGTCCTTCAATAATGTTAAACAGTGGCTGCAGGAAATAGATCGTTATGCCAGCGAAAACGTCAACAAGTTGTTAGTAGGGAACAAATGTGATCTGACCACAAAGAAAGTAGTAGACTACACAACAGCAAAGGTATGTTTAAAGTTTGACTTTTATACTGAATGTGAAGGTGTTGAATTTGAATTGCATGTGGACATAGTCACGCAACAGCCACAACCACCTTAGCTTTTAAAATGTGTGCACTAGCACACTGACAGCAATTTGTGCAGCTTGTTTGGATTCAGTAAACTTAGTCCTTCCTCACTCCCCATTTCAGATTATAGAAATGCACTAAGTATAAAAACATTTTCAGTGTTAACTGTACTTAATATTCTCTTAGGAATTTGCTGATTCCCTTGGAATTCCATTTTTGGAAACCAGTGCTAAGAATGCAACTAATGTAGAACAGTCTTTCATGACAATGGCAGCTGAGATTAAAAAGCGAATGGGTCCTGGAGCAACAGCTGGCGGTGCAGAGAAGTCCAATGTTAAAATTCAGAGCACTCCGGTGAAGCAGTCAGGTGGAGGTTGCTGCTAAAATTTGCCTCCGTCCTTTTCTCACAGCAATGAATTTACAATCTGAACCCAAGTGAAAAAAAAAACAAAATTGCCTGAATTGTACTGTATGTAGCTGCACTACAACAGATTCTTACCGTCTCCACAAAGGTCAGAGATTGTAAATGGTCAATACTGACTTTTTTTTTATTCCCTTGACTCAAGACAGCTAACTTCATTTTCAGAACTGTTTTAAACCTTTGTGTGCTGGTTTATAAAATAATGTGTGTAATCCTTGTTGCTTTCCTGATGCCAGACTGTTTCCTGTGGTTGGTTAGAATATATTTTGTTTAGGTGTTTCTATTGGCATGTTTAGATGTCAGGTTTAGTCTTCTGAAGATGAAGTTCAGCCATTTTGTATCAAACAGCACAACCAGTGTCTGTCACTTTCCATGCATAAAGTTTAGTGAGATGTTATATGTAAGATCTGATTTGCTAGTTCTTCCTTGTAGAGTTATAAATGGAAAGACTACACTATCTGATTAATAGTTTCTTCATACTCTGCATATAATTTGTGGCTGCAGAATATTGTAATTTGTTGCACACTATGTAACAAAACAACTGAAGATATGTTTAATAAATATTGTACTTACTGGAAGTAATATCAAACTGTATGGTGATAAGTATTGTTTTAATTCTTATGGTTAAAGGGAACTAGAGCCTTGCATTATACTCAAAATAGCCATTTGTGTGTGCAAGCAGGCATTGTAGACCATCTAGACTTACTGGAAGTAATATCAAACTGTATGGTGATAAGTATTGTTTTAATTCTTATGGTTAAAGGGAACTAGAGCCTTGCATTATACTCAAAATAGCCATTTGTGTGTGCAAGCAGGAATTGTAGACCATCTAGCTCAGCATCCAGCATACTTTTCAGATAACGTATCCAATAAAATGATCTAGGGAGGCTTCTGTGCTGTGTAGGGATTTAACCAAGCTTAGTGGTTCAGGGAGATTTAATTGTATGGAAAACAAGTTTAGAATGTATGCTTGTCTAGCCTATTATCTCTGATCCTTCTCTAAAACCATCTGAAATGGCTTAATTGATCGACATTTTGTTAATTTTTCTGTGGTGGAGGGGGATGCAATATACCTTTCCTAAGTGGCAGGTGATCAGTCTAATACTAGTGCTGATAATGTTTCTTCCATGCTCTGAGTAAGATGTCAACTGTTTTATTCTCCACAATTGTATGACTTATGTTGGAGGGAGAGTTAAAGCATGGAAGTAGAAAGCAGGAAATTTACTCTTTGCCCTAATTTTAGAAATTATAGGCCTAAAAATTAACTGATAACACGAATGCTGGGCGGGAATGATAAATGAAGAGAAATATATTTATTTCAGTGGAATTTTGCACATGTGAAAAATTTGTTAAATAGGACCTTAAAGATCCTAGGGTTTGTTTTTATTGTGGGAAACAAAAATCTTTTGCTAAGATCGGCATTTTAAGGTGATGGAGTTGTCACAGACTTTCTGTGGGGTTGAAGTAGCAGCCAAAATATCCTTTACCTGGGGCTTGGGATGTGGCTGTTGGCAACACATTTTATGGTGGGGTCTTTAATTCAATGATAAAGTTTTAAAACAAGTCAAAATTAGAGATTTCTTTATTTTCACTAAACAGGCAATTGAAATACATGGTACAAAAATAAGTGATAAGATTATTGTAAAATGAAATGAACAGAATAAATATTCAATTTAATTTTCCACCTATGACAATTTCGTAATAAAATCATAGTTTACTTTGTATTTATAGATGTGCTTGTTGGATCTATTCATCCTCACATAAGGCAACTGAAAAATGCCTCAAGTTACCAATAGTTATTTGGGTGAAGATTTTTTTAATGCTCCAAAAGGTTTGTTTTTGATACAGTATAATAAAGAAAGGAGTTCAGAAATTACTTTCTAAAGTAGATAATTACAAACATTAAACAGTATGATGCTGTGCATTTCAGTTTCATACAGTAAGCTGTTCAAACTGTCTACTTTTTCTTGGTGAGTTAGCAAAAAACATTACATGAATTTATTTTGAGATGTAAACAGTCACATACATTTTGAACTGTCTAGTGATTTCCCCCATAACAGTCAAGACGGGTGTGCCATAGCTCTTCCAGCATGCTTCTACTATTTGCTTTTATGAATATGCCAATAAATGCAGTTTTGAAAAACATTCCCATTTCTACCCCCATTTTCAAGTACAACATTTCAAATTACTGTGGGTGCCTAATAAAGGGAATTATTGCTTGTCATATTTTAAGTATAAATGGCTGCCATAATTTAGTTAAATGAAGGGTGTTTTAAAGTTAAGCATTTGCAGTCTCTGGGAAATTTTTGCAGAATAGCCAGCCATTCTGGTCTAAGCTGTAACCTATTATTTGACATTGGACTGAAATTTCCTTTAGCATACATGTTACCATTACACCGTGTTTAAGTCAACCCCTCTTTATTATGTTCCTATTTAAGCTTCAGAATAGCCTAGTATTGACATTATCTCTTGTGTGATTAGCCAGTGAGCTGCAGCAGGAACCCAGGTATTGAAACTCCAGTCCAGCTCTTAGAACTGCCACTTCCCTGTGGACTTAACTTCTACTAATTTAAAGGGACTACTAGGAAATTTACTGTAAGTTGACTTGTATTTCATAGCAGCTGTTAATGTCGCTGTAAGCCACTGCTGTCCGTAGACTAATGTGCACCCGAGTACATTGGCCAGTCAGGTTACTGGAATCTAACCCAGCCACATTTGCTCATGGAAATGCTGCTCAGCAGTATCTTCAGCTTGAGTTTTAAGGGAGGTCTCAAACTTCTTACAGCACTGCTAAAGATAAAATTAGCAGTTGTGTGGACACTCTTAAGTAGCATTCATTCACAGCTAGGTGTAGAGTACCATCAGTCACACCTTATTTCAAAGGAGATGAACAAAAAACATCTTAGATCATCTCTAGATAAAGTGGTACTTCCTTGGCAAACAGGGTACTCCAAAGTAAAATACTCTAAAAATTCTTGTCAGTTGACATGGATAACTAAATTGAATGGGAATACAATGGCATATTCATCGCTTAGTTGCTGTTACATTGGCTTGTTTGTTTCTATAGGGTTGTCATTTCAGGTTTTTTTCCTAATAGAAATTTATTTTCATGCCTATCAAATACTAGTAAATAAATGGGTTTAACTCCTAAGCATGTACCATGAAAAGGTGAAATATTTAAGAACAGAGGCCATTAAACGTATCTGCCTTTTTTTTTTACCAATTCCAGGCTTTTAATATTTTACATATATATAATTATTTGCTAGGGAGTTATTTAGTCTTTTTAAATCTATGTGTGGAACCAAGATTTATATAGGGATGGCAGAATCATACTAGTTTAATTCTGATCATGCCCTTAAATATGGTAAAAATCACACAATAACAGCTGCAGGCACTTGAAATACTGAATTTTATATAGCTATTAAACTTCAGCAAGCTCATTTTCCAGTGACTATAAAGTCTGAGAAATTTTAAAGCAGAAAAGTTCACACTGAATAATAGGACTTCAGTTCATATGCAGGTAGAACTAAAGTCCTAAACTTTTTTTAAAAAAGATAAGTTTTGTACTAATGTTTTGTTCTGAGGGGCTATCAGAAGTGCTTATGTGAATCATTACTCCAGCATCCTTCTTTGGGTTCAAGGTGAGTTGTTCATTTCTTTACATAAAGATCTTCCCTTTTTAATTAGGCACCCTCCTCACATGAAAATCTGGAAGGAGTTTAAAAAATCCTTAAGTGCTTATTATCTCACACCTCCCCTTAAGTCTGAGCCCCCTGTAATACTAAAAATAAATGGAAAAAAGGTGCTTTCTTCCTTCCTTATTCATTCATGGCCTAAAACTTTTTTAAGATGCTTATTTGTTTTTGCAGAATCTGTGGTTACCAGCAATAGCTCATCACTTTGCTTTAAATGGATGATCTATATTTTTTTTCCTATCAAAGTACTTACATGCAACTACCAAGCAAAAGGAATTCCCTTTTTTCCTTAGTACTGACAGCCTTAGCTTCTGTAGTTGACTGGGTTGTGTGATCCGATCCATGCCCTTTCCTTCCCTGACCTTGAACTACTCTTCCAAGGGAGAGCAGGAATAGACAGCTGATGCGTCCTACAAGGACCCTAAAGGTGCATAGCCCTGCTTAACAACAACAGTTAAGGCCTTAAGTCCCTGGCACATTTTCCTTAATGATACTAGGTGGGCAGGTGGAGCCCTGAAGATAACAAAAGGTGTTCTAAGAGCCCAAAATAATTTGTAGAGGCTCTGTTCACTCAGAACCTTCTATAAATTTAGAGAGTTAAAAAGTCTCTTCTAAAATCTTCAAAGAGGGACTTACAAGCCTAAACTTTATAAGACCCAAGTTCCTGGCCAGCTGTCCGCTTTTTCCAAGTCTCTTGGGTCCTCTTACATGTCTGAAAATACCAAATATTTGCTCTCTTCTTTCTCGCACCAGCCTTCTTTAAGAGACTTCAGCAGGTGGACTAATTTAGGAACTTCTCTGCTTTTTTTACTTGGAGAGAGGGAGAGGAAAGACATGTAATAAGCCTTGTTTTTTTATCAAAAACTGCAAAGCCACAATGCTCTTCGTAGATGCACCAGAAAACTAGTTTGGAAGGATTCATTTTAAATAAAAACAGTAATGCAACAGCCCTCACAATGAAAGAGAAAGGCAATTTAAAGCCCCAGTGCATTAGAGTTAAGTTTGACCCTTGAATTTCAGTGTTAAATGGCTCTTTCATGGACTTCATGTAAGTTTCCCACTAGCAGGGTTTTGGCTGACAGATTACATCCCTGCCTGAGAAGATGCCTGAAAGAGACAGAGAAACATCTGTTACTGACAGAATGCTTCAGAGGAAGAAATGACAACAATCACCTCTGTTCATTTTAGAATTAAAATGACTTGCTCCGATTTCTTTGATACAAATACAGGGACTCCTTGTTCTTAACCTACCTAGATCTTATCCTTTACCTTTCGTCTACAGTGAATTTTCACCTGGAAAATCTATGAGTTAAGCACCATATTTTGGAGAAGTTGTTTCAGAGAAAGTACAGTCCACCTGTGGAATCATGTTGGGCAGTGGCAACCCCACAGTGGGCGCCAAACCCCTCTGCTCTCTCAGCCCCACTTTTGTATCCTTCTGTTGACATTCCCAGACATCCAAAAAACACTAAAGTTTCCCTGGCATGTTGCCCACCATCTAGCCCTTGAGCCTTTTTTGGAAAGGGAGTGGTAAGGGAAGATGCAGAGAAGGTGTGGGGAGTTACCACCGACTCTGGGTCTCTGGGCACTTGGTGCTGTCAAGAGTTGCTTGAAAACAAAGTTGGGAGAAAAGAGCCTACAGAAGAGGGGCAGCCTGATATGGTCCTGTACTGAAGAAGCATACATGTGCAGACAGAAAAGAGTAGGCACAGACAAATGGGAGTATGGGGCAGGCACGCTAGTTGTCAGCCAACAACAGGGGTGAACTGAAGTAACGGGAAGCACCACCACCATGAGTCTTCCTCCTGGCAGTAGTAGCTCATCCCTTTTTGTACCAGGAACTCCTCCCAACGTCTTGTTTCAATAGCTTTTAACTAAACAAGAGTTTAAGAACAGCCACCCGTCAGAGCAGGTACTGTATCCTAATCCAGCACTGAGGGACAGACTCTTCTCTCAGGTTGCCTACTTACCAGACTAATGCCCTTCACATCAGCACTCCTGCATGCCACTGGTGTACTATCAGGGATGAGGGTGCAGCCCGCCAGCATGTCCAGAGAGGTTAAGATAGCCTCATAGAGGCGGTCTGCGTGGCTCTCCAGCTCACTGGGCTGCTTTGAGATCTGCCCAAGGACATCCTTTAACACTAACAAATGAAGTTCAAAGCAGTTAGACCACAATACCATGCAAACCTACTTACACTAGGAGGATCTATGCTATTAATTTCTGATTAAAGCTGAAATCAATCATTGGCTCCACTTTGGAATTACACTGAACCCTTGAACAACAGGGATTATGAGCACCAACCCCATACACAGTAAAAAATCTGAGTATAACTTGACTCCCCAAAAACTTTGGGCTACTCATCACTGGAAGCCTTACCAATAACGTAAGCAGCTGATTAACAAAACATATTTTGTGTTTGTATTATATATACTTATTCTTACAGTAAAAGCTATAGGAAAGAAAATTTTTTCAGATTATCAAAAAATCCAAAAAATTTCCCATTATATTGAAAAATATCCATGTATAAGTGAACCTGTGCAGTTCAAACCTGTCTTGTTCAAGGGTCAACTGTACACAATTCACCAAAAGGCACAAAGACACGGTCCTCTGGTAGCTTGGTGTTAATCTTTTAGTGGTAAGACAGGGCATACCCAGATCCTGTGGGACAGAAGGCTTACATGAAACAAGACACCATGCCAAGATTAGGACTCTGGGTCCTGCTACCAGGCTCTATCAGCTTCTGTTGGCTGGGGGACTGTCAGCATGTACACAGGTGGTCTGGTTCTGTACTTGGGAATGCTTGTGAACCCTTTGTTTTTTGGTCTCAACAGACTAAAGAAGAAAATTATCTGAAAGCAGGCTGATAAGACACGATGGTTAGGCCAAGATTTCCTCCTGCGGGCCAAGTGTTCATTAGAGGAAGGGTTGGGCTTAGGTTCAGAGTGCATCACTACAGGCTTTTTTTTTTTCTATTAACTTTATTTCCTCTAACTGTTAAACACAAAGGCCACTTCAGCTTCCTGCATCTTTATCAGCTGTTAATGCTCTCTCCGGTTTCCTGCCACAGCTGCAACATCTGCTGGAGCGGAAGGGAAAGGGGAAGCCATATAACTGCAGAGGCAGCTTGCGGACGGGGAAGGAGGCTCACACGCTGGCTGTGTTGAGATCAGCCCTTAGAGAAGCCACAGCAGTGCAGCATCATCAGGGCAAAGTGCTGTCCCAACAACTCATGAGAGCTGGCGAGGCCTGGCTGAGGAGTGCGGGCAGGGCACGTGCTGCAGCTCGCTTGAGGGTGACAGCTGGATTCTCCCCTCCAGTCACCAGACCCCCAGCTTAGTCCTGTGCAGTCAGTGGAGTTCAGGGGACCTTTGTTTTTCTGAACTTATTTAAAAATGTTAGAATGGTTGATTGAAGCCAACAAAAAGGAAAGCTGGGAGCAGGACTGAAATAATCTTCCCCAGTGTACGACTTTCATGTTTTAATTGAATACATGCATACAGGGGCCTAGTTTAACTTAATGCCAGTGGATTGCAGTAATTTGATCCAGTGTATTAAGGAGTTTGGTGTGAGACACAGATTTAACTTGTGCACCAAAGTGACTAGGTCAAAATGTAGTGACCACCTGCCAGTTATCCAGGGGGAGGCTGCTGGTGCAAGGCTGAGCTGGGGACATTTTGGAGGGAATTAATTTGGCTTCCTGTCACTGCAGTTGTACTTGTCTGAGGAAGAAAGCAGGCTCTGAAGCAGCTGGGTGGTTTGTGCCCAGACTTCAGACTAACAGTGCTCTGGAGAGTGAGTACAGTGGTGTGCCTAGCTGGAGAGACCCTGTGACTGTCAAAGGGAACTTGTAGTTTTTACAGGACAGCCAAGTTCCTGATCTAAGCAGATGATGTCAATCTGAAAAGAACCTGGTTACATGAACTCAAAAATCTGAAACCCAAACCTTTGTATTTTGGCATTAAAATACCTCGATTTCTTTTGAGAAAAGGGTAAAGTGGGATGTTTTTATTACCATTAAAGTACTGAGTAGTAGTTAGTGGACTGTGTTTTAATTGAAGTTCAAAGACCTGTAGCTTTTAAAAGAACCCGTGTTACATGCAGCCTCTGGGAAGCGCTTTCTGTCATTGAATTCCCTTCCCGCTCAGGCCCTGCACCTACAGACACTGACACAGGAGCCAACTCAAAGGGGCGTGAGCCAGGCGGCCACTCCTTGTGTGGCCTAGACAAATTCACCAATGAGGCAAACTTAGTAATTAGTTTACCACCTCACAGGGCTGAGTAAATGAAAAAAATCAGTTCAACTGCTTCAGCACAGTATCTGGCACACAGTGGTCGGTAAAATGCTAGTTTAATTACAAGTAGCAAAGAAGCTTGGATAATGAATTTCTACCCCAATAAAAACCAAAAAGCCCTAATGCGAGAACACTAGAAGAGCTGAAACAAAGAGTGGGAGATTGTAAAGGGCTCACTTAATTCACACTGGATAATCCCTGTCCTGCTGAAAACCCGTTAGTGGCTCACAGTCCCATCAAAACCTCTGCCTGTTCTGTTCCCTCAACCACCACTTTTATTCCCAGGGGATATCTGGCAATGCCCTTGGAGATATTTTAGGTTGACAAAACTGGGGAGAAGGTGCTACTGGCATCTAATGGGGTAGAGGACAGAGATGCTGCCGAACACCCTGCAATGCATAGGACACCCCCTCTCAGCCTTAAAATGTCATCTGAGCTGAGGCTGAGGGCAGGAAAGTGCCACCTCAGGGGACTCTCAAGCCTGAGGTTCCTGCCCAGCTTTGCTTATGCTGTTTGCCCCTAGAGTAAACGTCCCTCCCTGCAACACACACTCCAACACTGAGGCATGATACAGATGGGCTCCTCTAGCACTTGGCTATTGTCTTACAGCAAATTTGGAGCTCCTTTTAGGGGCCTATCACCTTACTGCTTTAACCCAGCGTTCTCCTAGCTCATCCTCCATACAGCATCTTCTCTCAGCAAGGGCAACACAAACTGTAAATGCTTGCACCCTGCCTGCTTACATGTATTCTGCAAGTCTCTGATTTTTATTTTCTCCATCCTGCAAAACGGGCCCAAGCTTAGTTTACACACCATTCTCTGCCTTTTCCCACTCGATTAGGTCACGTCATTAGGCTAGTCTAGACTGACTGCTCTCAAATCCTTCCCTAAAGGAGAATGCAAGGCAGGTAACCAGAGGGGTTCATCCAGTGCAGGGGAAAGGGAGACCCAAGGGCTCCCCACTAGGAAGACCCTAGCCAACACCAAGGACAGCTGGATTAAAACAAGCATGCCCCCACAGGACACCACCAAGAAGAGAGAAAAACAGAAGCCATAGTGTCCTTGCCCCTTCACCTGAAGCCTCACTTCTCGGCTCACCCTTATGATGGTGCCTGCTCTCCGTGGCTGCGGGGCCGGTGATGCTGTGGGGTGCCCGCAGCCAGTCCCAGCACTCTCAGGCCCTGGTGCATGTGGGAGGGGCTCCTCAGCAGTGACGAGGTCCCAGGAACTGCTGCTGAGGGATGAGTGCTGCCATCTTACCTGGGGTATTATCTAGCAGGCACTGAAGAAGGAGCTCCCCTTTCTGTAAGACTCTCTCCGTCAGGGACTGGTGTTCATCTAGATCTTTCTTAAATTGCTTAAATCGTATCAGAAAGAAAAAAACCACAAAGCTTTGTTATTATCATTTTTTTTAAAGTTATTCAAAATGATCCCTTGCAGCATAGCTTGACTCCCCTCTAACCTGAAAGATAAACGCACCCAGTCTTCAGAATTCCCCAAGTAAACAGTGCAGTAATTTACCTTCACCTTCTCTGAGTCCAAGATAAATACACAGTCAATCCTTTTTTCTGTTTACAGTTTGACAAAAGAAGAGTTTTCCCTGGCAGAGCCTGGCTTACAAACAACTTGGAATCAGGGTTTCCTTGTGTCACACCTTATGGGTTCTCTTAAGTTCCCATGGCTACACGATTCTCAGACACGGTCTCCTAAGTACAGACCAAAGAGGTGCCTTTAAGTTGACCACAGGGAGCAGCTGCCCCCAGTGTTCTGCTCTATGTGGACCTTAAGCCTCGGGAAAGCATCACGGAAGCTGCGAGTCTCCTGAGCAGCTGATTTATTTTCCCCTTAAGGGTACCAAGCCTTGTATGTAGCTGATTTGTTTTTGATGTTCCTTTAGCTGCTAAGAAGTACAATGTCAAATCCATGACCGCCTTTAGAACAGGGAGACTACAGGACTCGGCATACACATTTTTTGTTTGTTTCCTTGCTCATTTATTTTTTGGAGAATTTTAGTGAAAAGTATGTGTGTGGTTTTTTTTT